TATATTTAGATTTTAGCTGTTATTTATATTATATTTAGATTTTAGCTGTTTGCTACATTTAGATTTTAGCTGTTGTTGGGTATGTGTAGCTTTCAGCTAAATAGTATGCATATTTTAGCTTTTTTCAGATTTGAGCTTTTAGCCACTGTTTTGATTTTAGCTTCTGTTCTTGTTTTAACTTTAACAGTTCAGTAAGTTCTGTACTGTAATTCATTTTTATGCATTCATTCATTCATTCATTCATTCATTCATTCGTTCATTTATTCATTTATTCATTCATTCATTCATTCATTTATTCATTTATTCATTTATTCATTCATTCATTCATTCATTTATTCATTCATTCATTCATTCATTTATTCATTCGTTCATTCATTCATTCATTTATTCATTCGTTCATTCATTCATTCATTTATTCATTTATTCATTCATTCATTCATTTATTCATTTGTTCATTCATTCATTCATTTATTCATTTGTTCATTCATTCATTCATTTATTCATTCATTCATTCATTCATTTATTCATTCGTTCATTCATTCATTCATTTATTCATTCGTTCATTCATTTATTCATTTGTTCATTCGTTCATTCATTCATTTATTCATTCATTCATTCATTTATTCATTTATTCATTCATTCGTTCATTCATTCATTTATTCATTCGTTCATTCATTTATTCATTTGTTCATTCATTCATTCATTTATTCATTCGTTCATTCATTTATTCGTTCATTCATTCATTCGTTCGTTCATTCATTCATTCATGCGTTCGTTCATTCATTCATTCATTCGTTCGTTCGTTCGTTCATTCGTTCGTTCGTTCGTGCGTTCATTCATTCATTCATTCGTTCGTTCGTTCATTTATTTATTCATTCATTCATTCATTTATTTATTTATTCATTCATTCATTCATTCATTCGTTCGTTCGTTCGTTCGTTCGTTCGTTCGTTCGTTCGTTCGTTCGTTCGTTCGTTCGTTCGTTCGTTCATTCATTCATTCATTCATTCATTCATTCATTTAGCACTCACACTAAATGTTGTCCAGAAAATTGTCTCGTTAACAAATGTTGTCAGGCTGAACCGTGCTAATCAAAGGGATAAATGTGACTTTTACCAAACTAAACTCTTGTTGAAAAGCCCAGAGAGGTGGTAGTTGTGATCCAACGCTCTGCTGAAAGTATAAAACCGAGGACGTTACCTGGAAGTTGGGGTTGGGGTTGGGGTACGGCAGCCAGGCCGAGCGCGAGTTCTCCTGGAACTTGAAGGGCCCGTTGAAAACCTGCGACACGGCGCTGAGGTTGAAGGCGCACACTGCGGACGCAGCGATGCTGTTCCTGGTGGATGCAACACAAACGAGAAGAACACGTTCAGGCCGGGGCTCGTTTTGGTAACGTGCACTTCCTGTGTGCACGCGGGGCAGACACACTGTCTGATGGTCATCGTTGAGATCCAACGAGAGGCGCTCAGCGTGCTTTACGCGCACGCGTCAGCGCGTCGTACAGCGTTTTCCAGCCGCCACTTGCAGCTGGTGCCGCCCCGGCACGAGAGCGTAAAGAGTGAATTAACTCCGGACGTGAATTACAATCCATTAAACACCGTGCCTGCAGGGGAAATGTTTCCAATACCCTTCAAAGGCTTGTTTTTCCAGCTATGTGAAAGCACTGACCATAAAGAATTGATGACTCAGCTTTAATAGTGGTCTGAGCGTGCACATGTGTGGTCGTCGATGGGTTTGGTGAAAAAAGGATGAAAACCAGCAGAGAGCTCGTTTCACGTGGAAAACCTCAAATGAATGGTTAATATACTGCAGTTAATGCAAATAACAACACTCAGTTAAACTTTACGTAAGGAAAGTGACATCACACTTTGTTGTTGTACAAACATGTATTTCATAAAAGAAATTAAAGAACAAGCCTGATACTTGTCATGCTCTTATTTTGTAGCGTAGTTGTAAAACCTGGCTGTAAACAACAGAGTGCTTTACGGACCTGTCAGACGTTTCAGCCACGGATAATCATCCTCTGTGTATTTATACTGTCTCCTTTTCCCTGGCTGTTTATTAATGTTTTTAATTTGCAGGCAGACTACGCTTGTCAGTGCCATTTCAAAATAAGAGCGGCCTCGTTGCTGTCTGTATGACCAAAGTATGTTCTTTGTTTTAATATTGCACTTCTAGAGACAAAAGGGCAAAACAAGCATTCTTATTAAATGTGTTTTTATTTACTTTTTTAGCTGGTGAGCAGTTCTGAGTGAAAAACACAATCTAGATTATCCATGGACCAAAACCAGATTGACTCTGGTCTAATAAAACCTTCAGCTCGGTCCTTTAGGCGTCAGCGCAGAGTCTACAGCACGTTTCAAACACAAGGCCCGGGGGCCAAACGTGGCCCTAGTTAACGTTGGATCTGGGCTCCAAGACGCTATTTTAAAGTAAAATACTTTTACCGCCTCTCATTGTACTTTAAAACTGAGCGTACTTTATTTTAATGCAGACTTCTCAAGGCCGCTGGAACAACTTTGAAGCCAAGAAAAACTCGTTTGATATTTTGTGTAATCTAGAGGACGTTAAACGAGACGCGTGAAACTTGATGAGGAACCTGCGAACATACGTAGGTTTCTGTCTGGAGATTAAGAGTTACAAATCAAATGTGTCTGATTCTTTTTTAATTAAAAACTGCAGATTCTGTTACGTGTACAGTGTCTCTCAGCTCAAGACAAGTTTTACAAAGCTACAAATCAGTAGATTAAACCACAGATTTAATAAAGTCTTGAGCTGGAATCAGTTCAACACAGGAATGATGAAACACTGGGTCAAAGGTCAAGTTGCCATGAAAGTGGGTCAGAGCTCCAAAAAGCTGAGCTGCTGCAGACGTTCAAACTCAGCTGACAATAATTCAGCTTCCACTTACAAATAAACAACCAACTCTATTCACAGAACTAAATAAATAAATTGGATGTGACCTGAAATAAAGTCGAAGCTCCGGAGCTGCACTATTTTATTTTGAACACAAGAAGTCTTGCACGGTGGCTCAGTTCGTAGAGCTGCTGTCTCCCAGCACGAAGGTCACCGGCTCAAATCCCGGTCGGGACCTTTCTGGGTGGAGTTTGCAGGTTCACTCCGTGCTACGTGGGTTTTGTCCCACAGACCAAAAACATGCACGTTAGACTGACTGGTAACTCTAAAATGTCCCTGGGTGAGAGACAGAGTGAATGGATGTTTGTCTTATTTGTCTCTATGCGTCCCTGTGATGGACTGAAACCTGTCCAGGTGCCCCTGTGATGGACTGAGACCTGTCCAGGTGCCCCTGTGATGGACTGAGACCTGTCCAGGTGTCCCTGTGATGGACTGAGACCTGTCCAGGTGTCCCTGTGATGGACTAAGACCTGTCCAGGTCTCCCTGTGATGGACTGAGACCTGTCCAGGTGTCCCTGTGATGGACTGAAACCTGTCCAGGTCTCCCTGTGATGGACTAAGACCTGTCCAGGTCTCCCTGTGATGGACTGAGACCTGTCCAGGTCTCCCTGTGATGGACTGAGACCTGTCCAGGTGCCCCTGTGATGGACTGAGACCTGTCCAGGTGTCCCTGTGATGGACTGAGACCTGTCCAGGTGCCCCTGTGATGGACTGAGACCTGTCCAGGTGCCCCTGTGATGGACTGAGACCTGTCCAGGTCTCCCTGTGATGGACTGAGACCTGTCCAGGTGTCCCTGTGATGGACTGAGACCTGTCCAGGTGTCCCTGTGATGGACTGAGACCTGTCCAGGTGTCCCCTGCCCTCGCACAGTGACAGCTAATGAAGAGCAGGTGTAGAAGACAGGTGGCTGAAGGTTGGTCCACTCACACGTTGGTTGTGAAGATGGCGTAGAGCAGCTCCAGCTCGGGCAGGTAGAACGTCCCCTGCAGCTCGTTGTAGTTGAAGGGAATTTCTCCAGGTCTGGAGCAGTTCAGCCTGGCCTTCATGAAGGTGGTCCACGTGTCCTCCAGGAGGAAGCGACCTCCGATGTCATTTTTACAGACGCGCCCCGCCCGAGAAAACACCGTGCGGCCACAGTCGTGCTCCACCGCGTTCTCCCTGAAGAAGAAGTAGGTGAAGTTGCCGATGTCGTAGGAAGACACAAAGTTTGGCTCTGTGGAGAAAAACACGTGGAGAGAAGGTCGTAAAGAAACAAACTGCAGGAACATGTTCAGGACTCTGGAGTCAGGAGCGCTCCGAGTTAAGACTGATCGACTCACAGCGTGTGTGTGTGTGTGTGTGTGTGCGTGCGTGTGTGCGTGCGTGCGTGCATGCGTGTGTGTGTGTGTGTGTGTGTGTGTGCGTGCGTGCGTGCGTGCGTGCGTGCGTGCGTGCGTGCATGCGTGTGTGTGTGTGGCCCACACAACAGCAGATGATGAGGATTAATAACGACAGGCCGAGTTATTAATGACACCGTGTCGTTGTAAGAAAACTCATTTCTCCCCGAACCCGAAGGTTGAAATGAGAAATGACCCAAACAGGTGAGGCAGCAGCTCCCAGCTCACCTGAAGCCGTCCTGACCCCCCCCCCCCCCCCCCCCCAACACACACACACACTGACCCCCCCATGGCCAGCGTGCTCCTCTTTATGCACGCCACGTCATAAACACACACTTTCATCTCACTGACGGTGATTTCAACAATAGTCCCCGCCCCCTCCCTCGTAATAGACCTCCATCGTACTCTGCACCTTCGGAGGGCAGCGATGCAGACGGACAGAGATAACGAGCTGAGTCTTCTCGTGGACGGAGGCTGACAAGCAACAGTTTAAACTTTTTATTTTTCAATTGTGTGTCTTAAACGAATCAATGAAAACATCTGCTAAGACTCGGAGCGACGAGCTTCTGTAGGCTGGACGTCTTAAAAACTGATGTTCAGCCTGTAGAAGACTCAAGGTTCTGCGGGACAAAAGAAAAAGAATATTTTCAAGACTTCTCATCTTTCAAGAAAGAGAGACACTTTTTATTGACCTCACAAAGACTTCCTGTTGCCAAGTAACTTGATGTTTTAATAAAAGGCACCTGAACAACAAGGAAGAGATGTTTCTGAGGCTCCATTGTGCGGCGCAGCGGTGGTTTGTGGGAGAATGTGACCCCATGAAAGACAGCTTGGTCCTCCCTGCTTCAATAAGCATCTGTTGGGTCAGACGTCCTTCATCTGAAAACTTTACTGTTCAGGGAACTATCCTGACACATGCCCAAGAGTTCAGGGAACTATC